AAAAAAAAAAAAAAAGTGCAATGTTCTGTGAGGCAATCTCCCAAGGGAGAGTTTCAACTTGAAGTCTGCAGACTTCCTTGAGTACATTGGGTACACACACACTTGCCCATAACCCAGGGATGGCCAAAGGCTGAGAATGGATTATGACAATGACCCTATAGGGGATGCTGTCTCTCTTTTTGCCTCTCTCACTCATGGAAAAGGTGAATACACATGGCGTAATAGTTACATTGCTGGACTCCTCCATAGTTGATCATGTTTCAAGTCCTAGACCCAGCAGCTTAAAACTCACGCCAGGCACCTGTACATGCATGCTCAAAATTCCAAGAGAAGAATGGAGTAGAAGGGTTGCAGCATGGCCATCCCTGGGGGATGATTTCTCACCTTCTGTTTCTGTGTCTCTATCTCTCTGGCAAGTGCAAAAACCCTACAGAAAAAATAAATAAAATAAATAAAACTCTCTTCAAAAAAAGACAAAAAGATAACGAGAGTTGATGAGAATCTGGAGAAAAGGGAATCTTTATACATTGTTAGTGGGAATGTAAATTAGTACAGCCATTATGGAAAAGAGTATGAAAATGCCTAAAAAATTTTTTTTAAAATAGAACTGCCATAAGACCCAGGAATCCTACTGTGGGTATGTATCCAAAGAAAATAAAATCACTTTCCAAGAAATATCTGCATTCTCATACTCACTGTAGCATTATTCACAATAACCAGCGTATGGAAACCATCTGTGTCCATCAACAGAATAAAAAAAGAAAATGTGATATATACACACACAATGAAATACTATTCAGCCTTTAAGGAGAAGGAAATCCTGCCATATGTGACAACATGGATGAACCGTGAAGGTATTATGTTGGGTGAAATAAGCCAGATGCAGAAAGACAAAAACTGCAGGATCTCACTTACATGTAGAATCTGAGAGAGTTGAGCTCATAGAAAAAAAAAACAGAACAGTAATTGCCAGGAGTTAGGGAGTAGGGAAAATGGGAAGGTGTTGGTGAAAGGATATACTTTTAGTTATAATATGAATAAGTCCTACAGACCTAATGTACAGTATGGGTGATTACAGTTTATAATAATGTATTGCATACTTTAAATTTGCTAGGAGAGAGGATAGATTTCAAGTATTCTCACCCTACCCCACATACACACAGAGGTCACTATACGAGGTAATGGATACATTAATTAGCTTGATTATAATTTCACTGTGTATCAAAGTATCATGTTGTATATCTTAAATACGTATTTTTTTATTTCTCAATTATACATCAAGAAAGCCGGAAAAAAGTAAGTAAAATATGAAAACCATGTTTTCAGGAGTGAGGTCATGTAAACAGCACAGCAGGAAGCTGTGGAGTCACCCTTCCACTGATGCAGCCACTGAACTGGAAGGAGCAACTGGATTCTATTATTTAGGAGCTCTGAACTTAACTAGACCCTAAGGACAGACCAGGGAGTTCTTGATTAAAGGAGGGACTGCTGATCATTCCTCAGTGAGCAGCATGAGAGAACCGGCTACTCTCTCTACTCCTCAGCCCACCACAGCTGTGGGGACCAGCCCGCATTCCTGATGCGGCTGGTGGGTAACAGGGTGAGCAGCAGGGACCCTGACCTCCCAAAGTCTGGCGCTGTACATTTTAGTTTTGGCAGTGCCTAAGGAACTCCATAGCCATCCACCATAATTTTGGCTCTCTTGGCAGCAGCAGCTTCCCCTAATAATGACCATCTGAAATTTTTAAAAGATTAACCCCCGTTTCTTCTTTCCCTTTCTGTAGCCAGGCATTTAAGGAAATTTTTGACAGGTCACTGACCACTGAGGCAACAGAACAGAAACTTTGAAGACCATGTAAGACAAGAAACACAGAAATAATTTGGAAAACTCACAAATATATAGCACCAGCTCTCAACAAGAAAAAGTAAGCAATCTGTGAGGAAAATTAGATTTCCAGAGTTACTAAATTATAATATCTAGACTGTCCAATTTTCTATTTTAAAAAATGGCAAGGCATACAAAGAAACAGGAACATTTTCAGGAAAAAAAAAAAAAAGGGAATTTGTCAGAAACCATTAATGAGGAAACCCAGACATTAGAATTACTAGTCAAAGATGTTAAATCAACTATATTAAATATGCTTAATGAGCTAAAGGAAACTATAGAGAAAGAACTACAGGAAATCAGGAAAACAATGTATGAACAAAATGAGAATACCAATAAAGAGACATTATAAAAAGGAACCAGACAAAAGCTCTGGACCTGTAAAGTACAATAACTAAAATGATAAATTCACTAGAGGGGTTCAACAGCAGATCTGAACAGGAAAAGAACACAGGAACAGCAAGCTTAAAGATAGGACAATTGAGGCCAGCAGATGACATGGTGGTTACGGCACTGAACTCCCTTATTGCCAACCACGGTTCAAGTCCCGGATCCAGCAGCTTAAAAATCACACCAGGTGTATGTGTGTGCATACCCAAAATCCAGAGAGGAGGATTGAGAAGAGACTGTGGCATGGGCATTCCCCTGAGGGGTGATTTCTCACTTTCCTCTCTTCGTCTCTGAATCTCTCTGGCGAGCACATGTATCCTATGGCAAAAAAAAAAAAAAAAAAAAAAAACACATTAAAAGAAAAAAGAAAGAAAAGACAGGACAATTGATATTATCCAATATAAGGAACAAAAAGAAATGGAAAAAGAGCAAACAAAAAACAAAGCCCAAGAGACCTGTGGGACACCATCAAGCAGGCCAACATATACACTATGGGAACCCAGAAGAAAAAGGAGAGGCAGAAAGTTTTTGTTTTTTGTTTTGTTTTTAAGGTTTTTGCCATAGGGCCCATGCATTCACTGGAGAGAGAGAGACAGTGAGAAGGAAAGTGACAAATCGCACTCCAGGGATGGATGGCCATATCACAATTCCTTCTCCTCCATGTGCTCCTGGCATTTGGGGCACACAAGTACACACACCAAACATGATTCTCAATCCACCGGGTTCATGACTCAAACCACAGTGGCTACATGAAAGTCTAGTGCCTTTACCACTCTGCCACCTACTGGCCCTCATAGAGAATATTTTAAAAATAAATGCCAAAATCTTCCCCAAAGATGATGAAAAATATAAATATACAAGGAAAAAGCACAACGAACTCCAAGCATGATAAACTCAAAAAGATTCACATGGAGGGGCCAACAGATGGCATGGTAGTTGGGGCACTGGACTCTAACATGGCTAACTGCAGTTTGAGTCCTGGATCTGGTGGCTTGCTTTCTCACTTTCCCTTTCGCTTTCTCTGTCTCTGTCTCTGAGTACATGTGCCTTATAACAAATTTTAAAATGATAATAGCAACAAATAAAATTAAATAAGTCTTTAAACAAATTTAAAGATTCATATGGAAACATACTACAGATAAATAGTGGAATAAAAATATAGGAAAGCAGCCTAGACAAAAGTGACTTGTGGTGTACAAGGGGTCCTCAGTTAGATGAATATTTACTTTCTTATGTGAAACCAAGAAAATTTGGAATGATATTTAGAGTCTTGTTAGAAAAAAACTGCCAACCAAGAATTCTGTATCTGGCCAAATTATCTTTCAAGAATAAAAGAGAAATTAAGATATAATTTTTTTAAGTTGAAGGAATAACCAGTACACTTGCCTTACAAGAAATGATAGAAGACAGGAGACAGCAATTCAAAGTCATAAGAAGAAATAAAGAGCATTATTAAATGTAATTGCATAGGTAAGTGTAACAGCCAGTATTATTGTACTTCTGGTTTGTAACTCCGCCTTTTTTCTCAAAATGATTTAAAAGATAAATGCTTAAAGCAATAACAGTGTTAACAGGCCTGAAATATATAAAGAGGTCATCTGTGGTAATTACTCTACAAAGGAAGGGGATGGACAGAGATGGGTAGGTAGAGTGGCCCACTGCTGAAACTACAGTAGAATTCACTGATCGAGGTTATTGTAAGTCTTCTTTCCATTGAAATGCTAATTTTAAAACAAATTGTATAAGAAATAGGTATTCTGGAAAGGCAGGAGAAATAAGACAAAAGATGAAAGTCACCTCAACTCACAACAGCTTTATCCTTGTTGAGCCAAAAAAATTTTTTAAGACTAGACCTTTTCCAAGAGCCAGAGTACAGAGGGGCTCTTGCCATTTCAGATGGAGAAAATAACAGAAGAGTGGCAGCACAGAGTTTGTTTTCTCTTCCCACAAAAAGAAACTCTCCTTTGTTTAGCACAGTTTCTCAGAGTGCTTTGAGTATCAGAGGTACCAGAGTAAGAAACAGACTCTGGACTCGCCTCCCCAAGTTTGCATCTGGCTCTATCACTTACGAGCTGTGTAACTCAACATCTCCTTTATTTATTTGTAAAATGGGAATAATAATACTACCTTCTTAATGGGTTGTTAGAGGAATAAATATTAACACACACATATATAAAGCAAGCACTCAGAACACCTCCTGGCACATAGGGAAAGCTTAATAAAAGTTAACATTGATTATAACCATGAAATCATTAAAGACATTCTGAGAGGCACAAAGGAAGTTCTACTAAGGTCTATGGCTGTAGCAATAAATAAAATTTTACATCATTTACATAATTTCATAATATAATCAATTAACCTACATAGTATGGGAGTTAGACAATTTCTACCTAAAATCTAGAGCACGAGTAAAGTCTAATCAATATTTGAGTGTTTAAAAAAAGGTGGCGGATTCCACCAGAGTAATAATATAGTTAGTTTCGAAGTTCCGAAAGCTTTGTTGTAAACAAGAACTGGAGAATCTGTGAAATCTTTCTGTGACTGCTCTAAACACAGGCTATAAACTATGTTGCTACCCAGGAAACCATAACGTTTAACCAAAGATTTATGTATTCATGAACTCATTTTTTCAAGAAATACTGAGTACCTTTGATGTGCTAGGCACCGAGGATGGTAGGAATAAACAGACAAAAATCCCGGAGAACACTGCTAGGTAGTCACTAACCGGGAATATGGTGGTTCACTAAAGCTTGGGGAGGCGGAGGCAGGACCAGGGTGACTGTTTTCCTCTGGAGGAGTCACTCCAGGCAGCTCTGAGCGGGCATCACTGTACACTGTTGTATCACATTTTATTCGTGTTGAGTCTCCTGACCTAGTGGTAAAAATCACGCAAGTTAATTTCTTAGGTTCCTAGGTAGTTTTTCCCACTGTCCTTTCACCAGGCCCGATATTTCAGAGCCCAAAATGACTCCAAGTTTTTCGGTCATGCACAAATAATCACTTAGTAGCCACAACAGTAAAAGTGACACCTTCGTTTCAGTGTTTAACGTAGCTGTGTACCTGGATGATTTTATTTTTTTATTGCCATCTTCCCAGGATGATATAACTAGAGTCCAGCCCAAGGCAGAAGCCAAACCACTGCCCTCCAAAACTTCCCGAGTGGAGTTTGGCTTAGCCAAGTCATTCCACCTCTCTGAACATCAGTTTCCTCGTCAGTAAGGGTAACAGCATGCACTTCCATAAAGTTATGCTGCAATGAACTGACCTACAGGCATAAAAACCATTTAAAACATCACCTAGCACATACAAAGCACTCAAGAAACATTTCTCAAACAACGATGGTCCAATGTTCCTTTCAGCCAGTCCCATTACCTAGAGGGTATCATCAGCCGTGGAATCACACAACCCCACAGACAATGACTACTGGGTCGGTATAGCACAGCAAGCAGCAAGGCGGATTTAGATGGCGGAGCACTTCCAGGTTACAAGGGCCTCCACTGGCTGCTAGGTTCAGCTTCTCTTAGAGTACAGAGCCCGCCCTGGCGAGCAACCTAAAATGGATTTTTATGCAGAATCTCCTGGGAATAATCTTCTCCTTCTTGCCCCTACTGTTTTCCTCTGAAGCTCATGCAACCAAGGAAGCATAGGCCTTGTACCTAACGTGAAGGAGCCTCACAGGTAAACACAGGCCTCCGGAGATCTAGCCTGGTCCTCACCAGGCATCAAGAGTCACCCAAATCTTCAGTGTCAAAGGAGTCTCACCAGGATTAAATTTAGGGCTTTCTCACTTTTCAGC